CTCACAGTCCAACAACAGTGCGCTAAAAGAATTATTTTCTCCGGGTCAGAACATGCGATCGTGTCGCGTGGTTGTGAACAGCAAACGGAGGTTTGCTGACCCCTCGGGCTCGTGCAATGAGAGGTGTCTCCGCGTCCGCTCACGTGACGGGCAGCAGAGCATAGCCTTCGTGCCAACAATATTTCATAAAACATGAATCACCGAGCAGCTCTGGTCGCTCACTATCAAGCCCCGCGTCTCCCCCCCCCCCTCCTTTCACCAGCCGAGGTTATCGACAACCTTCTCGACTCATTCTTAGGGGCGGCAGAGGCATGTTTGGTGCGACCCCTGCAGCGCACTGCTGTGGTGCAAGTGAAAGGATTGAGCTGTACCCTCTTCGTTCCTTGGATCTGAGTTCGTTGCGGCTGTGATGTGGTGAATCGGGCTGCGTGGGGTGGCGGGTGGCGGGGCGGAGTGGCGGGGCGGCGCGGTCGGCTGCTGAGCAGAGGGTGATTCCGCCTCCGCGCAAATCTATTTCGGAATCACTCTGTGGGTCAGTACCCTCGTACCAGGTACCCACGAAAATACATCACCCAGCCAGTATAAACAACCTTATTTTTGCTTGTGGAGAAACCCTTTTCCAATTTCTCGAAAAAAAAAAAAAAAAACAAGGAGAGAGAAAAGTCCATTGCGGGTCGATGTGAGTTTCGGTGCGCTATCACGCGTCGGCTGCCGGTGAGGCACACTGTCAGCATGACATGCCTGACATCAGCCCCTCACGTAGAAAATCGTTCCCTTCAAATTTAGCCTCGCATCAACGAAATTGAACTGAAATAAACATGAAGAAAATGTTTCCTTTCTTTGAGGGAAATTTTTTCTTAATTTGAAGAAAAGTCTTGAACTCAAGAAATTTTTGTCGTTATAAACCAAAGAAATTTCTTTGGAACGTGAGCAAAATTTCCTTGTGCTTTTCGTCTTTTTCAAGGAAACGATCACGGCAAAAACGGCTGCTTGGTTTTCAAGCAGGTTCCGTGTTGAGCTCCCATAACAGTGCTTGAAAATCAAGCAGCCGTTTTTGCCGTGGTTTTCTGGGTGCTGGTCTGCTGTTGGGAGGCCGGGACACCCGCGGGGCGGGCGATGAGGGGCTGAAGTGACGTTCGGTCGGTGCGCGACTGCGCGTGCGGCTAGTAATTTACCTTGGAACCGCTGACCTCGTCCAGCAGCTGGGCCTCGATCAGCCGCGCACCACGGCCGCACCGCTCCGCACACGCACGGGGACACTACCAGCCTACGGTCATACTTTTCTCTCCCCCTTCTCGCCCGTAAACGCATATACGCTACCCCGTGTTTTGAAAAGTACTACCTTAGGGTGGTCGCACTATGCGCGGTGCGTCTATCACTTTTGCTGGAGAAAACGCTATGGGATGGGGGACGGGTAGCGTCCTTCTCCGTTTAAAAACTCCACCGAGTTGTGGGGTGTTCCAGTTCGCCATGAACAAACAGTCGTAAACCCTTTCAAATCTAGAAAAAAACAAAACAACCATGAGAGTCCAAACTGGGATCTCTATGTAGTGTATTCTACACCCCAGAGTCCGAATTTATTTTCTCCTCGCCTCGCAGTTCTTCGCAAACGCTTGCGTCATTTTGCTCGACGTGCTGCCTCGAAGTATGGGGCTGTAAGAAAAATGGCATCGCACACACACACAAAAAATAATTATTCGTAACACAGATTTTCTTTTATTTTTTTATTTTTTAAAAAGCGCTTCATTGTTTATTTCGGACCGCTCTTCCCGACAATCACGGCAGCAGCGGGGGACCCAGGGGACCTTTCCGCTCCGAAGTGGTTGGCCAATTTATTGAAGGGAGAGCGGATCAAAAGACGAGGATGGACAGAGCACATATTTTATCCCCCCCTCCCTCCCCCGCTTTCCTCTTTTTCTTGCCTTCAATATAAAAACCGCAGAGCCGTCCTGAAACGAACAATGTCGAAAAATTAGCCGCCATGGCCCTCTCCTCTCTATTGCCTCTTCCCCCTCCCTCTTCCTCCCCTCTCACTCTTTTTCATTACCCCGCTCCTAACCCTCTCGCACACGCCAGGGGACGCCAGGACAGGGTGTACATGTCATAATAATCGCTCACGGTGCTCGACAAATAATAATCGCGATAAGTTTTTTGCACCTCTTCGCCCCTCCCCTCCCCCTCTCCTTTCCACCCAGTATCAGCATGGGAGTGGAGCGGCGTGGTGGTCGCTGTCCCAGGTGGCACTCCGGCCGCGCCTCACCCTCCCCTCCCTCTCCTCCCCGCTCCCGGGGCGTCTGGTGGAGGCGTCGCCCTCCCGCCCTGTTTGACCTTGCGATAAGCGACGCCCCCGCCCGCTCC